CTCACTCACTCACTCACTCATTCGGCGGTAGAGAACACGCCGCGTTGCCTACGACGAGTCGGCCTTAAAGATAATAGGACAAGGAGGAAGAGGGAAAGGACGTCCATAAGTAAAAGAGGAAGAGGGAAAAGAAGGAGAAGAAGAAGCGGGAAAGAAGACCACTGCGACCGGACGCGGTGCAAGGATAGGCGACGCCCATTGCGTGCGCGTGCCTTGCAGTGGCGTGGCTTGCAGTGGCGTGGCGTGCCGCGGAACCATTCCGTGCCCTCCGCACGCACGAGTCCGTGCCGTGCCGTGCCCTGCCATTGCACTTGGTGGACGGTCGGTGTTTTCACGGTGCGCTAGAGCGCGCCAGTGGGCGGCACTGCAGACCGATTCCGAGAGACTGTCTCCCTCGCACCGCCACGGCACGGTCCGTGAGTGCGAGAGAGACAGAGCGCCTTGCGAAGACGCACAGTGGGCCAGAAGACCGGTGGAGGCGGACAAAATCCCGGACGCGTTTTGAGCTCCAGAGTCGCTGAATGGGACTCGAACCGACCGTGTGACCCCACCAATGGATTGCTCTCCGAACGAGGAATCCATTGGTGGGGGTCACACGTTCAGTTCGAGTCCTGCTTAGCGATTCTGGAGCTCAAAACGCGTCTGGAGTTTTGGCCGCCTCCACCGGCCTTCTGGCCCACTGTGCGACGCAGCGGTACCTCCGGTCCCCCGCGATCGGAAACTGCAGTGGCGTGGCCGACGTGGCCGAGGCTCCGAGGCGGTGGCTGACTTCCAGGAGGAGGGGGATCGCTGTCCTACGGCTTCTGATGGCTGGGTAACCCTAGAGTTTCCGGCCTCCCCTCCCCCTCGTCCTTTTTCTGACGAAATGGTCAATGGGTGGCCGTTGCCCTGCGACAGGCGGCGACGGGGCCCTTCTAGCTACTCGTAAAGGGAACCCTTTTCTGCTCAATTTCGCAGCGAGCGAGTTTTTGACCGCGAAGCGGACTCTGCAAACTCAACAGTGTACTCAGTACACTCTCTTTAGAGTGTACTCATGAGTACACTATCTTTAGCGTGTACTCATGAGTACACTCTCTTCAGCGTGTACTCACAAGTACACTCCCACGAACGTGTACTCAGCTGCATGAATTGTGCCGACTTAAGCACACTCTCGTTAGAGTGTACTCAGGTAAGCACACTTTCGTTAGAGTGTACTCAGCTAAGCACACTTTCGTTAGAGTGTACTCAGCTGAGCACACTCTCACAGGAGTGTGCTTATGAGTACACTCCAAATAGAGTGTACTGAGCACTCTGTACAGTTTGCAGAGGAGGCCCTTGAGTTTGTGCCCCGCAGGGGGAAGCTTGAATTTTCAGCCTTCTCTCTCTCTCTCTCTCTCTCTCTCTCTCTCTCTCTCTCTCTCTCTCTCTCTCTCTCTATCTTCTCTCTCTCTCTCTCTCTCTCTCTCTCTCTCTCTCTCTCTCTCCCTCTCTCTCTCTCCCTCTCTCTCCCTCTCTCTCTCTCTGTTGGTCCGGCTGAGTGTGATGTTCGCGTGACGTGCCACTAAGTGAGATACATTAGTTAGACCTGTCGTTATCACTGCTCCTATTTTTTTTGCTTCGCTAACTCGGCGCGCGCATGGCATGTTAATCACAGTGGGCCAACGAGATGCCAATAGGAGGAACGAAAAAAAAAATTAACTCTCCGAGGAAAAGAGCGAAGATTGCTTTCGTATTCGAGATCCCACTTTGCGTGGTGTCTCCATTATTTTTGTCGTGAGCCCCATTTGGCTTCGGGACCTTTTTTTTACCTGTGTTTAGCTGATCGAAGAGGCTTTCCCAAATCTGTGTGTGCGTGCGTGTGTGAGTGAGGGGGGGGGCATCGGGAACCACAATGGCGGCCCAATCACAGAGATTTCGCCACCGCGTCCAATCCGGTGGCTCCGGATAAAAAATCACAGCGCGTCTCCTTTTCCGTCGCGATGCCAACAAACACCACCACACTAGCGGGCCTCGCCCTGTCTCTCTCGCACTCGCGGGGCGTTCCGCGAGGGTGCGAGAGAGACAGAGCGACGCCCGACCCACGCGTCGAACGGCCGAACTCACTTGAAGGCTTCCAGCTTCGGTCAACTATTCCATTTTTCGGCTGTCAAATATACCTTCCCGTTTGGTGGCGCCCGGCCGCACCAGACGTTCCGACACTCGGACTAACGACCACCGGGACGCCCTGCCCACGGGTGGCCGCCACGCCACGCCACGCCACGCCACGCCTCGCCACGACACGCCCACGCAAGGACGGGCCTCGGATGTCTCGCCGGTGCTCGAAGGGTTTCAACACGATTAGAGGAACGACCTGCTTACGTGGAAAAAGAAATCGGTTGCCGGCACCGCCAGGACGGCCAGGACGGCCAGGACGAGGAGGAGGATGGCTTGCCGCACGAGGATGATCGTTTTCCGGTCGACCTGCACTGCGAAAAGTTTACAGTGGGGCAGGCGGGCAGAACACCAGACGCGTTTTGAGCTCCAGAGTCGCGAAATGGGACTCGAACCGAACGAGTGACCCCACCGATGGCTTTCTCGTTCGGAGAGCAATCCATTGGTGGGGTCACACGTTCGGTTCGAGTCCCGTTTAGCGACTCTGGAGCTCAAAACGCGTCTCGAGTTCTGCGCCGGCCTTCAGGCAAGTCCACTGTGCGCGGCGGCGAGGCGAGCTCCGAGCACTCCGAGTGATTAAAAGGGAATCCCGCGAGGCTGTCGTGACGCTGCCGCTACACTGTTACAGGCCGCGCCGTAACGGGCGCATCTCGTGTGACGTCTTCGGCCGAAGGTGTGAAGCACGCCGTGCCGTGCCGCGCCGCGCCACGCTCGCGGTTCGCACGCACTGAAGCACGCCATCCCATCTCACACACCTCGCACTGCCTCACTAGTTGGTTGCCCCTCAGGCGACCGGTAAAGTGCCCGCCTCACACACACACACACACACACACACACACACACACAAACACACACACACACACCAACATACACACACACACACACACACACACACACGCAGCAGGCCAAGTTTGCTCTGGAGCTTTTGGAGAGCCCCGCCCCCTCACCCCTTAAGTGCCTCGGACAGGAAGTCTCCGTTCTGAAGTGGGCGAAGTTCGCCTTCTGGAGGTCTCTGCGCACTCCAGTGCGTACCTGGACGGTCCCACCAATGGATTGCTCTCCGAACGAGCAATCCATTGGTGGGGTCACACGTTCAGTTCGAGTCCCATTTAGCGACTCTGGAGCTCAAAACGCGTCTAGGGTCTCGGGCACCTCCACCGGTTTTCTGGCAAATCCACCGTGCGAAGTCAAGTGCCGAGCAAGTTTCCGTGGCAAGGCCTCGCGCCTACCGCCTTTGCTGTAAGTAAGCGAAATCAATTACCGGCCCCAGGGCCGGTTAGCCCCGCCAGGGCTGGCAGGCAGGCAGGCAACGTCACACTGCAAATTTATCTGCCGGACCTGTTTCGTCACTGAGGCCGGCCATTTTCTAGTGGCGCGGCGCCGCGGCGTTGAGGCGAGAAATGTGAACGATGAGTCACTCTGTGGCTATTAGAACGCAACGAGTGGACTTGCAGTGTGCTTGCATCACGCACTGCCTGCCTGGCTCTGCCTCCGTCGTGCCGTACCGAACGGCGGGTCGCTCTGTCTCTCTCGCACCCCTACGAGCCGCCCCGCGAGTGCGAGAGAGACAGAGCGAGGCTCGGCGGGGAGGCTGTTCTTGTCTGTGCCCTTCTCGACCCTGTCGCTCGTCCTCCTCTCGAATTTTTCACGCGCGCTCGCTAAAAAGTCAAAGGTCGCCATACGACCTTGTGCACCTGCACTGTTAGAAATTAGCTCCGAAATTTTATGGAGAAAAACCCTATAATCACGTTCATGGAGACTCCATTCATTTTCCATTTTTTTTCGGAGAGATTTTCTCAGGGTTTATACAGATGTTCTTTGGAGCATTCCTTGGGTCCAGATAGGAGGTAAAATGCAAGTCTTTTCTCAGATATATTAAAGAGGACTTCGCTGAAGCATTTTTCGGTCTGAAATGGTCAAAGAAGGGACAATCTCATTCGAGCTCATTTGACTTATATCCTGTAGCTTTCCCTTAATATTATGAAAACTGAGGTCAAGAAGTAGGGGTTCACCCTTCCCTCAATTTTTAACTGGTTGCAAACCTTTTTTTCGTGTTTTTGTGATAGTGCAGCATATATTTTTGTTCAAAATTCCGAAATTTTTCGGAGAAAGCCCAGAATTTGCATTTATGGAGAGCTCCATGCAGAAGTTTCGGAAAAACTCCATGATTTTTCCATTTTTTTTCGGAATTTTCTGACAGTGTGCCTGCAAGCTGAGGCTGCAATTTTTGCAGCGGGAGCAATAGGCATCGAAGGAGGAAAATTTTTGAAGATATTCCAGACTGTGTTTGCTGGGTGCGGGACGAGAACATTTTCAGCGAGCATAGTGTGACATTCTCAGCTGCGTTTGTGTTCCCCACCTGTCTGGTTCATTAGAACTTGATTAGAGATTGGTACAGCCCCGTGGTGTTGGAAGCCCCGCTGCGAGAGTGAGAGAGAGAGAGAGAGAGAGAGAGAGAGAGAGAGAGAGAGAGAGAGAGAGAGAGAGAGAGAGAGTCGTAGGTCATAAGAAGGGCGAGGGGAAAGGGGCTTCGTCAAAAGCAGAATGTCGCTGGCTGCTGCGGACTGTGTCGTCGCTCTGTCTCTCTCGCACGCGCACGGAGCGCCCCGCGAGTGCGAGAGAGACAGAGCGACGTTGCAGCGCCATAAAGGACGACAAGTGACCCGACGGTATGTGGGTCGACGCAGTCTGGACCACAATACCACTTTCACCCCAGATCCCCGCGATTTTGCGCGAAAACCAATGTCACTGGCGACTCGTCATTTCGTTCCATTGTCTTGCCCCCAAGGGATAGCCCAGCATCGCGTCGTGCCGTGACTGTCATTTTGACTTTGTTTTTAACGGCAGTGTGTCTTTTGATTTTGTTCCAGGCGATCCGATGCCGCGAGAGGGGACCAAGCGAGGCCACTGCCCGCCCCACGGACCTGAAACGTGAACAAGGTAACACCATTTCGGCCACTCAGAGAGAGAGAGAGAGAGAGAGAGAGAGAGAGAGAGAGAGAGAGAGAGAGAGAGAGAGAGAGAGAGAGCGCGATGAAAGCATATCGCGAGGTGCAGTTTGGTATCAGTCTGCAGCACTCTATGTGATCAGCGGCAGGACTTGATGGGCGTGTGTGTGTGTGAGTGAGTGTGTGTGTGTGTGTGTGTGTGTGTGTGAGAGAGAGAGAGAGAGAGAGAGAGAGAGAGAGAAAGAGAGAGAGACTGGGTGTTAAGCACGGCGGAAACCGCAGCGCTACGCCACTGGTCGGTGGTCGGTGTGTTAAAGTGCTTGTTGTGCCACCGGCGTTCGAAACAGTGCCGCGCCACGCGTGCGAGCGGCGAGCACGCGTGCCAGTGTACCAACGAGACGGGGCGTGCGTGCACTTCGGGAATCCGACCGAAGCCTTGATCTAGTTCGATGTATCGATACGTATTTCGGGGCCGGGACGAGGCCGAGATAAGATTCGCCAGCAGGGTCGGTCGTTGGCACGCTGCACAGTGGGCCAGAAGACCGGCGGAGGCGGCCAAAACTCTAGTCGCGTTTTGAGCTCTGGAGTCGCTAACTGAGGCTCGAACCTAACGTCTGACCCCACCAATGGATTGCTCTCCGAACGAGGAATCCGTGGGTGGGGTCACACGTTCGGTTCGAGTCCCATTTAGCGACTCTGGAGCTCAAAACGCGTCTAGAGTTTTGGCCCACTATGCGCTGCTTCAGGTGGCCCGAGCGATAAAGCTCTGCACTTGCCGGGCTGCTATTGAGTGCGAGAGGAGCGCCTGCAGAGAGCAGGGTAGGCAATGCAGTGTACAGGCGCCAAGCGGGTTGCCTACCCGGAGGACTTCTTCTGCGCAGTGCGTGTGACGTGTGTGCCGAAACAGACGCAAGGGTCTTCGTCCCTTCCCCCCTCATTGGTCACGTAATGCGGTTAGCCGGGGCTGACACTGATTCTGCAGCGTTAGTGGGTTGGCGATACTAGCGCCCCGGGCGGCACGGCACGGCACGGCGGTGCCTCCTTTGGGCAACTCACCTTTCCTTTCGCTTACGTCACACACACACACACAAACACACACACACACTCGCACAGTGAGTGTGAGCGCTGCTTAACGAGTCGGATGAGCCGAAAATGCAAACAATGGGATTGGGCCGGCGTGGTCGGCGAGGCGTGCAGGCAGAGCTCCGGAACGAGAAGCAAACCAGTCCATCCCACCGCATTCGGGTGCCGGCCGCGTCCCGTGGAGGGATTAGTCCCTGTCGCGCCAAGCGACGCCAAATATCTTTTATTCCCTCGGACGTCTCGGCTTCCATCGGCGTTTCGGGGTTCCCTTCGAGTGGCGTGCTTCCGTTTTGTCCGCGGCTTGGCGGCGTGGGCCGCCAGACTTGCCAGACGCCGCCCAGCGCCCCAGCGTGCGCGCCAGCGCTACCGGGCGGCCTTGGGGGGAATAGGTAAAGACGAGGACGAGGCTGAGGCGTTGCTGAAGCGCTGCTGAAGCAACGCCAGGACATTACGGCCGGACCTCCCAACTAGAGATGCAAATTTTCCGGAAACTTTCAAAGGGTCGGAAAAAAACCGGAAAAGTTGGAAAAAAACCCAGAAAATTTGGAAAAAAAGGAAAAATAGGAAAAATTAGTTTTTAAGCACTATGAACATGAAACCTACCACTTTTGTGCTTTTTTACAACTTTACCTATACTGACAACCCGAGATTAACAACAGCAAGCTCAAAAAACGCACGAGAAGGAGTCATAACAGGGTATAAGTAGTTTGAGTGCACTCAGAATCGTGTTCACAGTAGGGTTAAAGGTATGCTTTTAGCCTACTTTCAGGCGAAATGCCCGACTTTTTGCCTACTTTTCAGGCTGAATCTTTCCAATTTTTCCGAGGCCAGGGAAAAAAACGGAAAAAAACACTGTTTTTTTCCAATGTTTCCGGAAACTTTCCGGGCATTTTCATCCCTACTCCCAACCGCCTTGGGAAAAAAGGTCACTTTTCTCGAAAATCGCAAAAAATTGTTAGGCCCCAGTAAGCGCGCTCAGCACCGCAACTTTACAGTGCCCTTGTCGTTGTTTGACTCCAAGTGTTGTTTGTTTCTTTCGCAGATGCGACTGTTCAGAAGACGGTGCTCGGACCCCTCGCCGCAGTTGGTGTCGCTCGCGCCGCTCCACTGCGATGGCGAGGGCCCGCCCCTGCCGCTGGTGCCCCCCGCCCCCGCCGCCCCCCGCGGGGGCGTGCCTGTGGGCCCCGTGGGCGTGCCGCGAGGGGGCCGCTCCTCGCCCAGCACCCCCACCAGGGGCTCGCCCAAGCTGCCGCGCAAGGGTGAGTACCGCGGCCGAAGACGCGTGCAGAGCCCCAGAGGCGCTTAATGGGACTCGAACCGAACGTGTGACCCCACCAATGGATTCCTCATTCGGAGAGCAATCCATTGGTGGGGTCACACGTGCGGTTCGAGTCCCGTTTAGTGACTCCAGCAGTAAGACTCTGACTAACGCTCCGTGCTTGCTGGCTTGCAGGGCTGTCGACCTGGGGCAAGCGCGTGGGCCAGAAGTGGGACTCCCTGAAGCGGTCCGACTCGAGCGAGCTGCTGGCCGCGGCGCCAGGACGCCGACGACACTGGTCGCCGCACAAGCCGGCGGGCGGCACCGCGACCTCGCCGTCGACGACGCCCTCCATGAACGGCATCACGGCGCCGCGCGCCAAGCGCATCTCCCGCGTCGAGTCGCTGCGCAACCTGTTCGCGCGCTCCGAGCACAAGTACACCACCAGCGCGTACACGGCCAAGGCCGACAGGGCCGCCAAGGCGCCGCCGAGGCCGCGGCTGCAGGCCTCTCCCGCCCCCGCGAGCGCCGCCAAGGACAACAGCGAGTGGGTGAAGGAGGAGTGCCAGCGGGGGCTGGCGGACCTGTACGAACAGGACAGCCTGCTGCTGGGGCCAGGCGCGGGGCGGCCGCCGCCCTCCGCGCCGCGAAGACGCCCGCCGCCGAGCCAGAGCAGCCACAGCCAGGACCCCATCGCGCTGCTGGAGCGGCTCCTCGGCGGCGGCTCGGGGTCCGCGTCGGGGGCGGCCGCGGGGGCGGGGCTGGGCGCGCTCAGCTACGACGACCTGCTCAGCGCCGTGCGCGCGCTGGCCAGCGAGACGGACCCGGAGCGACTGCGGTACGCCGCCCTGCTCAGCCTGTGGCAGCTCGACGACGACCCCGAGGACCGCGACGTGGAGTCCGAGGCCGCGCACCGCGGCCACGCCGCCCGCCTGTCCGTGCTGGCGGAGGAGACGCCCTCGTCGGGCGGCCGGACGCCGGAGCGGAGTAACAGCGCGGCGTCGGACCGGACGTCGGCGCACAAGCGGCGCCACAACTCCGTCACCGAGTGCCCCGGGGCCGCGCCGGCGCCGGGGCTGGCCGGCCGCCTCAGGACCAGCTCCTCCAGCTGCGAGAACCTGCTGCACTCCGGCGGAGCGGCCAACGGCCACGCCAACGGGCACGCCGCCGCGCAGCCGCAGCTGTCCGTCGACGACCTGTGCGTGTTCCTCAACAACCTGCTGCTCGTCAAGTCGGACGAGAGCGGCTACGAGAGCGACTCGACGCGCAACGGCTCCGAGTCACCAAGGGGCTCCATCCGCTCGGCCTCGGCCGCGGCCTCCACGACCTCCAGGCCGAGGCCGCCCGTCAGCCGCAGCGTGTCCAACACGTCCTCCGTGGTGGACTCCGTCGTGGAGGACGACGTGTTCCTGGAGGGCCAGCCGGCCGTCTCGCCCGGCAGCGACTGCTCCCCGGAGGACGGCGCGGCCGGCAGCAGCGCGCTGTTCGCGCGGAAGAGGGGCATCCGCCGCGGCGACGTCAAGACCCTCGGCATCCTGGGCAGCCGGCGGCCGCAGTCCCTGGCCTGCGACAGGTGGGTACACTGGGTGCGCCGGTACACTGGCCACGTGTCTGCAGTGCTAATGCCCCAACGCCACGCTGACTGTCCTCCAGGTGCAAGAGCAGCGTCGGCAGCAGCAGCAGCGAGGTGAGTGCGGCGAGCACCGTGAGCGCCGAGGCCGCCGACACGCGGACCGCGTCGCCCTCGCCGACACGCCCGCGGCCACTTACCCAGAGGTCAGTTTACTTACAGACGGCTGTTTTGAGTTGGGGAAGGAAAGTAGTTTTACCAGTGGGTGTTCTCGTTTTCCAGACTCGCGCCGCTAGGCCCGCGCAAGCCGCCCCCGCACTCCACCGGCCGCGGCCTGCACTCCATGCTGTCGCAGTCCACGCTGTCGCTCACCACCGTGTCCTCCGGGAGCGCCACGACGGCGTCCTCGACGGCGGGGGCGTACGGCAAGGAGTTCCGGACGATCCGCGTCAGCAAGGACGTGCGCGGCGACCTGGGCGTGCTCATCGAGCGAAAGGAGAGCGGGCCGGCCGGCCCCGCCAGCTACGTGGTGTCCGGCATCGAGACGGGCAGCGCCGTCTACCTGTAAGCGCCACTCTTACAGTGTGCCAGTGCACAGTGGGCTGGAAGACCGGCGCAGGCGGCCAAAACTCTAGACGCGTTTTGAGCTCCAGAGTCACTAAATAGGACTCGAACCGAACGTGTGACCCCACCAATGGACTCCTCGTGCGGAGAGCAATCCATTGGTGGGGTCACACGCTCGGTTCGAGGCCTGTCCGCTCCAAGGCGATCGATCCCTAACTTGAACTGTTTCCGTTCGCAGCGACGGCCGTCTTCGAGTGGGCGACGAGCTCGTCAAGGTCGGGGGGCGGCGCATGCGAGGGCTCACGCTGCAGGAGGCGCGCTCGGCGCTGAGGGCCTCGCCGCAGCAGGTGGAGCTGATCGTGGCCAGGACGCCGACGACGGAGCACGCGGAGCACGCGGAGCACTCCGACGACGCGGCCTCGGCCTCCGCGACGACGGCGACCTCGACGACGCCGGCGCCGTCCGCCGCGGAGGCCGGCAAGGTGACCGGCATGAGGAAGTTCTCCTACCGCACGGAGCAGGTACTTGTTTCGCGGTTTGCCTACCATTTTGGGGATTTGGAGTTGCGTTGTTTTCCTGACGTTGCTGCTGGCCTTGTCGCAGGTGACCCCGAGGAGGAAGGCGCACTCCACCAGCAGCACCGGCAGCACCGGCAGCAGCCCGGCGGCGTCCTCGAGCGGGGCGTCGTCGTCGTCCAGCGCCGCGTCCTCCACGTCGTCCACGGGCCATCCCCCCGCCCCCCTCCCCCACCCCCTCCCCCACCCCGTCCCCCGGCACGGCGGCCACGGCGGCCGCAGGGGCATCCTGGGCACGCTGCCCCGACGGCCCAAGTCCATGTCGATGAGCCTGTTCACCGTCATCTTCCAGAAGGGCTCGGGCCACAAGTCCCTCGGGTTCAGCATCGTCGGGGGCCAGGACTCCCCCAAGGGCAGCCTCGGCATCTTCATCAAGACCATCTTCGAGGCCGGCCAGGCGGCGGCGGAGGGCACGCTCAGAGAAGGTAATTTCATTTCTGATACCATTACGAAGTCAAACTAGACCTTAGGCACAGTACTTGATTAAAATATTTTTTTGTCAGGTGATGAAATTCTTGCGGTCAATGGCAATCCGCTCCAGGGCCTGACTCATTCGCAAGCTATCTCCGTATTCAAGGACATCAAGACAGGGTCTGTTCTCCTTCATGTCGGGAGAAGAGACCAGTTGCATAAAAGGTAATTTGTGTTACAACTTTACTTGTTTTTGGTGGCTATGAATTTTCTGCGCTGATTAGATTTTGTTTTCGTTCAGAAAAGAAATTTGTGTCTGTGATTGAGAGTTTATTTCTTTCCAATTCCAGGAGTAGCAAATCAAAATCGTGTGATGGCTTGGATAAGTTTGATTAGAGACTTAATCCCTCTAGAGTCACATTTATGAGAAGATCAACATATTGTGGTATTGCTGGACATAGCAAGAGTGTATGACTGTGATAACAATTTAAAATAATATTCCATGTTTTGTTATAAATAAATAATTATGTAAATAATAATCTACCAAGGTTTGTAACACAATTGATTATGCATTCGAACTTTGCAATATTTGTTAGTCCTTGCACATTGTTATTCCATCAGTGTAAAATAACCTTCTTACTACATTTATTCAAGCTTCTGTAATTTTACCAGACCCAGTTGAAGATTTATCATCTTCCTTATAACTGGAATTTGAATAATCTAAAAATATACATGTGCAGCCTGCGAGGTACATTGCTTTAAATTATTTAATAATTAATGAATGAATGTATAAAATTAGTAAGTTACCAAAAAAGTGAATAATTTGTGTCCCCTTGGTTTGTATTAATTTTTAGCATGTTTTGAAACATAATATTTGAGTTGTAAATAAATCATTACATCGAATTCCTCACTTGCTTCTTTTCCCCAAGACGCTAGATGAGTTCTGGTGGGTCGGTCGATGGGTTGCCTACTAATCAGGCCCTATGCTAAAACTATCAGTTTTTCGCCAGAAAGAGGCTGTTTAGGGCCCAAATGGCCCTCGAAACAGTGTCAGAAGTCATGAGGGAGTGCCCCAGCACAACGTACTAGAATTTGGTCAAATTTCATGGTTTGGCCCAAACTGTGAAAAAACCTAGATGTATAGGTGAAAATGGTCGACCACCTCCGATTTGTCTGAAATTGATATGGGTCGTTGCTAAGGGTATTATAAATAGATACCTGGTGCTCATTGGTCTTTAAAGCCATCTATTTGAAAATGAATTTTCTCGTGACGCTAGTTGAGCTCTTGCGCTGTGTGGTGCTGTTGTTTTATTTGTGAGGGGTAGAGACAGGGAACAATAAATCTCGGTTCGCCCTTGTATTTCACACTGAATACCTTTATTACAGGAAGTGAATGCTTTGCCCCATCTTGAGCATTACAGACATATTAGGCGCCACTTTGAGAGTAAGCCATGCCCCCACAGAATCCACTCATGTGTGCTCATAATTTTTATCAACTTTGCTGAAACGGGTTGGTCCTATTGGCTAAGATTCAATTTGTTGACATGGCATAAGAGGGAGGAATTAATGGTATTTTTTGTTGTTTAATTCATATCTTGAAAAAATTACCAGCAGGTAGGAAAGTTACAGACAGAATCAGAAATATTTCAGCAAAGTAAATATTAAAACAATCAACACATGTAGAAGTTCTGTTGGAATAAGTAAATCCACAAGATGTTTTTCATTCTGTCTTCTTTAAATTTTGTAGCTACATATCCAAACTATGAGAAGTTAAAATTTGCTTCATGCATTGAGTTAAATTGATGTCTGTTCTTAGCATTCACAATTCAAAAACACATAACAAAAATTAATGAAAATATGAACAGAAAACAAAAGACTTGTTTAACGTAGAGATGAGACCATTTTAACCGAACTACCCAAAGTCCAGCATGGACAATGGGAACTTAAATAAAATCACAAAATACAAAAAAAGTATGAGAAGCCTGAATGATGCAGGTAAACAATTTAGTAACATTAATTGACGCCTAGTAATGTTTTGCTGTTGACTTATCAGTTTTCAAAAACATTTTCTACCATCTATTTAGTAAGTTGGGAACTGATAACACAAGTGTTGGTTGGCACTGATTCATAGGAGCGTCAATTGTGAATGACAAAGAATATTAAATAATAATTGAGACTTTCATTTGAGCAAGACTCACTCATTTGAAATTGGGATCATCTACGCAATCTGGGTGCACAACATTTACACAGTGCTGGTAGATTTAAAAAGAAGAATATTACGACAACCATGCTGCACATTTAGACAAACACATCAGGCAGCAAATAATTAGAAATTTGTAAAATTTTAGTTTACCTCAGCATTTTGGTAAGATATGAGATGGATAAAATTAACACACATATAGGCTGCTAACTTAGAATGACATGGCATTTTCAGAAAGGTTGGCTCCTTCTCCTTAAAATACAGTCTATTTTTTGTGGGAAAAATTATAAGGGTTGCTACCACCGGTCTATCATCAGACACGCACTCAGGTTTGTTCTGACAATGATGAAGAAACTTTCATCTTTGTGCAGTGTTCCAAAAAGAAATTTGGAGGAGTACCCCTATTTCTCAATGGAATACACTGAGTGCAAAGAGTCGTCTTCAGGGGCCCAGTTTCTGAAGCGACTACTGTCTGGCGAAAGAGCGAAGGATGAGTCTCATCCTGAGCTTTGCCTCATCACATGGAAGAAAAGAAAGCACACTAAATAATTTTGATTTGGCGGACACACAACTCTCTGTTGCCACATACCTATGCTTCTAATGTGGAACATTTTTCATCAATGAAAATCAATGTCAAAATTTGGGATTAAATCTTCATTTAAATTGAGTTTCAAAACTGTTGAACCCTCTCAAGGATTTTTTTTCTATAATGATGATTTTCACTTTACAGCACGATGTTAGCACCAAAGATTAGCAGCAGGCTTAAGCCTACATAGAATTAATCACTTCAAGGTAAACATAAAAAAGTTATGTACACTTCCTACTTATAACAATTTGATTTGATATGACGAATTTCCTCTATGCAGTGCTAAAGAGGCTGGTTATCACAAAAGATGAGTTCACTGATGAACTCTGACTGAACGGAGCAAAACTCTGCCAAAAATAAATGTAGCGACCAAATGCGCCTCAATAATGACAACAATATAACAACAACAAGAACAGTAGGTATTTACAAATACAAATTCAGGATTCAGGAGAGGCCGCAGCTTTTCACTAAGCTGAATTTTGTCCTAAAGCAGTCCAAAGAGTTTAGAATCTTGCAATTGTACTACAAATGTGCTTCTTTAAAACAAGCTCAAGATACAGAGTGCATTTTTAAATTCTAAAATTTCTACTCCACCCATCCCTTATTATTAATACAACAGCAACCGGAGATTCAGCAATTTAAATAACTATTATTTCCTATATTACATAAATACATGGCAACAATGTCATCAAATGAAACATACCTTAGAGATTGGTCGATTCAAAACCAGTTAATATGTATCAAACATTACAGAGTATTTATACAGATAAATAGTACACAATATATCATACAGAAGTTAATTTACACAATATATAGTGAATTTAAAAGTGGAAGCACTTGTGTTGAGTTATTATCCTACAATAGTGTGCAAGTAGTCTCAGTATCATCCTTAAAATTAATTTGTACAAAGCAGTGCGTTTTGTCCTTCAATTCCTAACAAACAACTTAAGTGGGCATGCTTTTTTTCCGTCATAATTCACATAATTAACTATACAACTATACTCACCACCAACACACCCACAACTATTTGGTGGAAAATATGTTTGACATCCGTACAAAAATAAGAATGGGAGAGATTTTGTCTGGCGAATCACTTACGGACACCGTTGAATAACTTAAGAGAACCCAGTGACAACTGATAACGCATTTTTCCTTTGATTTCACAATGGCAAGAGATAAGAATTAAAATTAAAAAAAAAAAAAAACTTAAAAAAATAACAGGATGTTTTGTTGATATGCGCACAGACTGTGCTAGAAAGACGGTAGACATTTGTGACAAATTGAAAATTTTTGCCTCCATTTCAAGAAATTTCAAAGCGGCTCTTTCAAATATGTCAGAAAAGATTGTGGGAGAGACCACCCATTGTCGCTTGAAATTGCTTGAGTGAGCATGATGTGACATCAAGCTGGAGATGCCGGTCTTCCTCACAACAGAGCAGCAGCTTCGTGGCCTTCGGCCACATTGGTGCTGGTCGAGCCCGTTGGACCAGGAGACTGTGAAACGACTAAATCCACCTGCTGTCCGACTGGTGTGCAGGCTGGAACCACAGGGCATTCAATAAAGTACTCTGCTGCAAGCCAATCGAACACAGTCAAGTCGGAACAACCCACAGTGGGCCATAAGACCGGTGGAGGCGGCCAAAACTCTAGACGCGTTTTGAGCTCCAGAGTCGCTGAACAAGACTCGAACCGAACGTGTGACCCCACCAATGGATTCCTCGTTCGGAGAGCAATCCATTGGTGGGGTCACACGTTCGGTTCGAGTCCCATTTAGAGACTCTGGAGCTCAAAACGCGTCGAGAGTTTTGTCCGCCTCCCCCGGTCTTCTGGCCCACTGTGCAACCCTCACCTTGGTAGTGGCCGGAGCCGGGCCGGCCGACCAGCGCGCCCGCCTTGCTGTTGTGGTCGTTGTGGTCCGCGATGGCCGTGGTGGCGGTGGGCATGCCGCTGGACGAGGGGCGGCCGCCCGAGCGCCGCCGGTACGTCGTGCTCATGGTGAGGCGCCGGACGTTCTTCTCGGGGTGGAACAGGATGATGTACACCTTGGGCGCGAACAGGCAGCCCAGCGACACCCAGGCGGACAGCGAGATGGACACACACAGCGTCAGCGCCTGGACCTGCGAGCGACAGCGCGTTCAAAAACAGTGAACATGGAGCCAGGCCACAATCATTCGAACCTAAACCCGTACCTCCTGAGCGTGGCGCGTGGTGAAGTAGATGGGCAGGAAGGCCAGCCAGATGACGCAAGTGGTGTACATGGTGAACACGATGAACTTGCTCTCGTTGAAGTTCTCCGGGATCTTGCGCGTCTTAAAGGCGTACACCGTGCACGTGCAGATGAGCAGGATGTTGTAGAGCTGGGACAGCAGGAAGGACTCGTCGTGGATGCGGCACTTGAGCCACACCTGCCGCCGGTCCGGGTAGTCGAACCGCGTCCCCGGCGGCTCCACCACCAGCCACGCGAACGTGCCCAGCGTCTGCACCAGGATCAGGGCCACCGTGATGAGCACCTGCAGCAGCAAGCGGAACCACACGAATGTCAGAAAAGCGAAAACCCCTGCCGCGCGGAACCGCGCGGAGTATGTCCGAGGCGGCGTGAAGGGTCCGTGGCCACGGGGTATCTGCGGCGGTCAGCGCGGATACTCCTCGCTCGTCCCCTGCGCCCAGAAGGCGACCAAAACTCTGAACGCGTTTTGAGCTCCAGAGTCGCTAATAGGGACTCGAATCGAACGTGTGACCCCACCAAATGGATTGCTCTCCGAACGAGGAATCCATTGGTGGCGTCACACGTTCAGTTCGCGCCCCATTTAGCGACTCTGGAGCTCAACACGCGTCCGGGATTTCGACCGGCTCCGGCTGTGGCTGCGGCAACAACCTGAGACTTGGGGCTAATGAACTTGGGCCTGCGCGCGGACTTGGAGGCCGAGTCGAAGATGCGCGAGATGCGGTTCGTCTTGGTGAGCAGCGCGGAGTAGGTGATGCAGAAGCCCATGCCGACGGAGAAGCGCTGCATGGTGCACGTGGTGAGCGAGGGCTTCTGCAGCAGGACGAACGTGTTGGCGAAGCAGAGGGTGATGCCCATCAGCAGCGCGTAGCTCAGCTCGCGGCCCGTCGCGCGGACCTGCAACAACCCGCACACAAATGACCACTCCCAGTCGACAAACAGGACTCGAACCGAACGTGTGACCCCACCGATGGATTCCTCTTCCGGAGGGCAATCCATTGGTGGGGTCACACATGAGATTAGGGCACCTAACCTAACCTAACCTAACCTAACCTTACCTAACCTAACCTAACCCAACCCAACCCAACCTAACCCAACCTAACCTAACCTAACCTAACCTGACCTAACCTAACCTGACCTAACCTGACCTAACCTAACCTAACCTAACCTAACCTAACCTAACCAAACACGACCCAACCTAAGCAAAATTTTTTCCGTCCGATGGGGCCAGAATGGCCTTAGCAGGGCTAGGTTAGGCTAGGTTAGTGCAACCCAGGCTTGGGAAGCCTGTCCGGAAGAAATAAATTTCGCCTTAACCTAACCTAACCTAACCTAACCCAACCTAACACGACCTAACCTAAGCAAAATTTTTTCCGTCCGATGGGGCCAGAATGGCCTTAGAAGGGCTAGGTTAGGCTAGGTTAGTGCAACCCAGGCTTGGGAAGCCTGTCCGGAAGAAATAAATTTCGCCTTAACCTAACCTAACCTAACCCAACCTAACACGACCCAACCTAAGCAAAATTTTTTCCGTCCGATGGGGCCAGAATGGCCTTAGCAGGGCTAGGTTAGGCTAGGTTAGTGCAACCCAGGCTTGGGAAGCCTGTCCGGAAGAAATAAATTTCGCCTTAACCTAACCTAACCTAACCCAACCTAACACGACCCAACCTAAGCAAAAATTTTTCCGTCCGATGGGGCCAGAATGGCCTTAGCAGGGCTAGGTTAGGCTAGGTTAGTGCAACCCAGGCTTGGGAAGCCTGTCCGGAAAGAATAAATTTCGCCTTATCCTAACCTAACCTAACCTAACCCAACCTAACACGACCCAACCTAAGCAAAATTTTTTCCGTCCGATGGGGCCAGAATGGCCTTAGCAGGGCTAGGTTAGGCTAGGTTAGTGCAACCCAGGCTTGGGAAGCCTGTCCGAAAGAAATAAATTTCGCCTTAACCTAACCTAACCTAACCCAACCTAACACGACCCAACCTAAGCAAAATTTTTTCCGTCCGATGGGGCCAGAATGGCCTTAGCAGGGCTAGGTTAGGCTAGGTTAGTGCAACCCAGGCTTGGGAAGCCTGTCCGGAAGAAATAAATTTCGCCTTAACCTAACCTAACCTAACCTAACCCAACCTAACACGACCCAACCTAAGCAAAATTTTTTCCGTCCGATGGGGCCAGAATGGCCTTAGCAGGGCTAGGTTAGGCTAGGTTAGTGCAACCCAGGCTTGGGAAGCCTGTCCGGAAGAAATAAATTTCGCCTTAACCTAACCTAACCTAACCTAACCCAACCTAACACGACCCAACCTAAGCAAAATTTTTTCCGTCCGATGGGGCCAGAATGGCCTTAGCAGGGCTAGGTTAGGCTAGGTTAGTGCAACCCAGGCTTGGGAAGCCTGTCCGGAAGAAATAAATTTCGCCTTAACCTAACCTAACCTAACCCAACCTAACACGACCCAACCTAAGCAAAATTTTTTCCGTCCGATGGGGCCAGAATGGCCTTAGCAGGGCTAGGTTAGGCTAGGTTAGTGCAACCCAGGCTTGGGAAGCCTGTCCGGAAGAAATAAATTTCGCCTTAACCTAACCTAACCTAACCTAACCCAACCTAACACGACCCAACCTAAGCAAAATTTTTTCCGTCCGATGGGGCCAGAATGGCCTTAGCAGGGCTAGGTTAGGCTAGGTTAGTGCAACCCAAGCTTGGGAAGCCTGTCCGGAAGAAATAAATTTCGCCTTAACCTAACCTAACCTAACCCAACCTAACACGACCCAACCTAAGCAAAATTTTTTCCGTCCGATGGGGCCAGAATGGCCTTAGCAGGGCTAGGTTAGGCTAGGTTAGTGCAACCCAGGCTTGGGAAGCCTGTCCGGAAGAAATAAATTTCGCCTTAACCTAACCTAACCTAACCTAACCCAACCTAACACGACCCAACCTAGGCAAAATTTTTCCGTCCGATGGGGCCAGAATGGCCTTAGCAGGGCTAGGTTAGGCTAGGTTAGTGCAACCCAGACTTGGGAAGCCTGTCCGGAAGAAATAAATTTCGCCTTAACCTAACCTAACCTAACCCAACCTAACACGACCCAACCTAAGCAAAATTTTTTCCGTCCGATGGGGCCAGAATGGCCTTAGCAGGGCTAGGTTAGGCTAGGTTAGTGCAACCCAGGCTTGGGAAGCCTGTCCGGAAGAAATAAATTTCGCCTTAACCTAACCTAACCTAACCTAACCCAACCTAACACGACCCAACCTAGGCAAAATTTTTTCCGTCCGATAGGGCCAGAATGGCCTTAGCAGGGCTAGGTTAGGCTAGGTTAGTGCAACCCAGACTTGGGAAGCCTGTCCGGAAGAAATAAATTTCGCCTTAACCTAACCTAACCTAACCCAACCTAACACGACCCAACCTAAGCAAAATTTTTTCCGTCCGATGGGGCCAGAATGGCCTTAGCAGGGCTAGGTTAGGCTAGGTTAGTGCAACCCAGGCTTGGGAAGCCTGTCCGGAAGAAATAAATTTCGCCTTAACCTAACCTAACCTAACCCAACCTAACACGACCCAACCTAGGCAAAATTTTTCCGTCCGATGGGGCCAGAATGGCCTTAGCAGGGCTAGGTTAGGCTAGGTTAGTGCAACCCAGGCTTGGGAAGCCTGTCCGGAAGAAATAAATTTCGCCTTAACCTAACCTAACCTAACCTAACCCAACCTAACACGACCCAACCTAAGCAAATTTTTTCCGTCCGATGGGGCCAGAATGGCCTTAGCAGGGCTAGGTTAGGCTAGGTTAGTGCAACCCAGGCTTGGGAAGCCTGTCCGGAAGAAATAAATTTCGCCTTAACCTAACCTAACCTAACCTAACCCAACCTAACACGACCCAACCTAAGCAAAATTTTTTCCGTCCGATGGGGCCAGAATGGCCTTAGCAGGGCTAGGTTAGGCTAGGTTAGTGCAACCCAGGCTTGGGAAGCCTGTCCGGAAGAAATAAATTCCGCCTTAACCTAACCTAACCTAACCTAACCCAACCTAACACGACCCAACCTAAGCAAAATTTTTTCCGTCCGATGGGGCCAGAATGGCCTTAGCAGGGCTAGGTTAGGCTAGGTTAGTGCAACCCAAGCTTGGGAAGCCTGTCCGGAAGAAATAAATTTCGCCTTAACCTAACCTAACCTAACCCAACCTAACACGACCCAACCTAAGCAAAATTTTTTCCGTCCGATGGGGCCAGAATGGCCTTAGCAGGGCTAGGTTAGGCTAGGTTAGTGCAACCCAGGCTTGGGAAGCCTGTCCGGAAGAAATAAATTTCGCCTTAACCTAACCTAACCTAACCCAACCTAACACGACCCAACCTAGGCAAAATTTTTTCCGTCCGATGGGGCCAGAATGGCCTTAGCAGGGCTAGGTTAGGCTAGGTTAGTGCAACCCAGGCTTGGGAAGCCTGTCCGGAAGAAATAAATTTCGCCTTAACCTAACCTAACCTAACCTAACCCAACCTAACACGACCCAACCTAGGCAAAATTTTTTCCGTCCGATAGGGCCAGAATGGCCTTAGCAGGGCTAGGTTAGGCTAGGTTAGTGCAACCCAGACTTGGGAAGCCTGTCCGGAAGAAATAAATTTCGCCTTAACCTAACCTAACCTAACCCAACCTAACACGACCAACCTAAGCAAAATTTTTCCGTCCGATGGGGCCAGAATGGCCTTAGCAGGGCTAGGTTAGGCTAGGTTAGTGCAACCCAGGCTTGGGAAGCCTGTCCGGAAGAAATATATTTCGCCTTAACCTAACCTAACCTAACCCAACCTAACACGACCCAATCTAAGCAAAATTTTTTCCGTCCGATGGGGCCAGAATGGCCTTAGCAGGGCTAGGTTAGGCTAGGTTAGTGCAACCCAAGCTTGGGAAGTCTGTCCGGCGAAATGAATTTCGCCTTACCCAACCTAACCTAACCTACCCAACGTAACCTAACCTAACCTAACCTAACCTAGCCTTACCTTACCTAACCTAACCTAACCTAACCTAACCTTACCTAACCCAACCTAACCTAACATAAATTAAGCAACCTAACATAATCTAACCTAACCTAATTCATCCCAACCTAACCTTACCTAACCCAACTTAACCTAACCCAACCTAACCTAACCTTACAGCCCTTATCTCATGGGTCACACGTTCGGTTCGAATCCCATTGGACTGGGCACATTGAGAACGTAGTCATGCATGCGAACTTTCTCGTAACACAAAAATCCCACAAAACCTAACCTAACCTAACCCAACCTAACACGACCCAACCTAGGCAAATTTTTTCCGTCCGATAGGGCCAGAATGGCCTTAGCAGGGCTAGGTTAGGCTAGGTTAGTGCAACCCAGACTTGGGAAGCCTGTCCGGAAGAAATAAATTTCGCCTTAACCTAACCTAACCTAACCCAACCTAACACGACCCAACCTAAGCAAAATTTTTTCCGTCCGATGGGGCCAGAATGGCCTTAGCAGGGCTAGGTTAGGCTAGGTTAGTGCAACCCAGGCTTGGGAAGCCTGTCCGGAAGAAATAAATTCGCCTTAACCTAACCTAACCTAACCCAACCTAACACGACCCAACCTAGGCAAAATTTTCTCCGTCCGATGGGGCCAGAATGGCCTTAGCAGGGCTAGGTTAGGCTAGGTTAGTGCAACCCAGGCTTGGGAAGCCTGTCCGGAAGAAATAAATTTCGCCTTAACCTAACCTAACCTAACCTAACCCAACCTAACACGACCCAACCTAAGCAAATTTTTTTCCGTCCGATGGGGCCAGAATGGCCTTAGCAGGGCTAGGTTAGGCTAGGTTAGTGCAACCCAGGCTTGGGAAGCCTGTCCGGAAGAAATAAATTTCGCCTTAACCTAACCTAACCTAACCCAACCTAACACGACCCAACCTAAGCAAAATTTT